ATCCTCCCCGAGCACCGTTTCTTGGCCCACCTGAGGTGGCCACTGGAGGAGGCTATCCAAAACGCCCTCCGAGACGATCCAGCACCTCCAGAGACCCCCGCGGGTTGGCTCTACGTCCCCACGGCCTGTCGCAGCGAGGCATTGTCCTGGGCCCACTCATCACGCCTGTCTGGCCACGCGGGCTTCTCACGGACTCTTAGGTTCCTCAAACGAGCTCTCTGGTGGCCACGTATGGAGAGAGATGTAAAGGACTATACGAGTGCCTGTGACGTCTGCGCCCACTCCAAGACATCCAACCAGGCCTCGGTTGGTACCCTCAGACCTCTTCCGGTACCCAGCCGCCCCTGGTCCCATGTGGGGTTGGACTTCGTCACAGGGCTCCCACCAGTCAACGACCTTAATACCATCATGACGGTCACTGACCGGTTTTCTAAGGCTGTTCACTTCATCACCCTTCCGGGCCTCCCCTCGGCCCGACGCACAGCTGAGTTGTTCCTGGAGAATGTGGTGCGTCTCCATGGATTTCCTGTCGACGTGGTCTCGGATCGTGGTCCCCAGTTCACGGCCCGGTTCTGGAGGGCTTTTTGTCATCTGTTGGGAGCATCAGTCAGCCTATCTTCGGGCTATCACCCGCAGACCAACGGCCAAACGGAGCGGGCAAACCAACAACTGGGTCGGTACCTCCGCTGCTTTGTCTCGGCCCAACCCTCGCAGTGGCCTAAGTACCTCCTCTGGGCTGAGTTATCCCACAATCTCCACACCTCCTCAGCCACTCTGATGTCCCCGTTCGAAGTCTGCTATGGCTACCAGCCCCCGGTCTTTGCCCACCAGGAACCCGAAGTTGCAGTGCCGGCCGCTCAATCCCTGGTGAGGCACTGCAGGAACGCCTGGATAAAGGCGCGGGCCTCCATAACCCGAGCTAACGCCCGTTACTCTCACCAACACCTCCGCCGACACCGTCCTGGTCCCTCATATGCTCCAGGGGATAAGGTCTGGGTGTCCACGGCAGACCTCCGTGTCCGTGCCGGGTCTAGGAAGCTCGCTCCCCGGTTCCTTGGGCCTTACCCCGTGCAAAGGGTCATCAACCCGGTCACGTACCGGCTGCGGCTGCCTGCGAGTCTCCGCATCCATCCCACCTTCCATATCTCCCGGCTCAAGCCCTACGTGGAACCCTCCCTCCTTCCGCCTCCGGCTCCGGCGCCTCCACCTGCCCGCTTCCTCGACGGTGAGCCCATCTACACCGTCCGGCGCATCCTGGACGCTAGCCGCAGGGGACGGGGCTGGCAGTATCTGGTCGATTGGGCTGACTACGGCCCTGAGGAACGCTCCTGGGAGCCGGCCCGCTCCATCTTGGACCCTGCCCTTGTCTCTGACTTCTGGGACCGCCGAGGTCGCCCTGGGACTTCTGGAGCCGTCCCTGGACCGGGGGGTCCTGTCAGAACCCAAGCCCCCAAACCGGCCTCTCCCAGCTAACCGGCCTCCATCTTGGACCACATTTCCCAGCAAGCTCCTCGCGGGAACTCCCGGCATTCTCCCAGTCACACCCAAGCCTATATATGGAAGACGCCGCACCGGCTCTTCACTCAGTCATCGTTTCATTGAAACCCCTGATCAGAGTTCTCTACCGAATAATCCAGACGTCAAACATCCTTACCGAGTTCAACTCCCGTACCCAGTCGACCATCGTGACACACACACACACACACACACACACACACACACACACACACACACACACACACACACACACACACACACACACACACACACACACACACACACACACACATCTACACAGCATATCTATATAAAGTCATGTTTCTATGGTTATATTGTGATTTCTTAGTAAATATTCTATTTGGTGAGAGATAAACTTTATTGTATTTATCCTAGTGGATCTATAATTAAATGGGTAAACTAGTAGTAGCACATTCAATGTAGAGGAAAGCAAAAAGTTATTATCAGGAGAGGGAGAATGTTTAAGTGGTTAGCAGCAGTGTGCTAGACGATGGCTCCTCCATGAGGCCACCACAGCTCTGCAGAACATCATTGTAGCTTCCTCTGGGGAGAAAAACACTTAGAGAAAAAATAAAGTTAACAGCTGAAATAGCAGGAAATAATACAGTTAAAGAGCAGACTGTAGAAGAAAGCAGTAGAGTGTGGAAAGTGGTCAGTGTATCCTCCAGCAGTCTAAGCCTATAGCAGCATAACTACAGTTATAACTCTGGATAACCTAGCCTTTTAGATGGAGGCATGTTAGAGGCAGGGCAAGGGTGGGTGTTGTGAGGGTGGAGATGGTGGACCAAGTGTGGTGTGGGGTTGAGGAGGCAGAAGAGCAGGCACGGATAAAGTAAAAATGGGTTTAATAACAACGGGAGCGACAGGACAAAACGAGACATGCACATACAATCAACAATGATCCGACACAGGACATACGAGACGGGAGGTATACACTGGGGAAAATCAGGAACACATGGGCATGTTAACAAGGGCAGGTGAAACCAATACACAGCTAATCAGGGCAGGAGAGAGACAGTCAGGAGGGCAGAGGCAGATCGTGACAGCCGTCTTTACCGACTGTACACTCCACCTCCCTGTACTCCCCCACTTGTCCAGATCTGGGCTAACATGAGATTTTAACTATAGGCCCTATCAAATAAACATGTTTTAAGCCTATCCTTAAATGTAGACAAGGTGTCTAAGAACAGCAAAGCTTAGATTGTAACACACTCAAGTGATTGCTATAACTTCATACTACAAATAGTTGTTTGCTGCAGAAAGACGGACCTCAAAGCCATTTTCAGAGGAATTTGTTGGTTTCTCTAGTTAGGAAAAACATATCAACATAATTATTTGATGAGCATGAATTTTATTTTTGCATAAATAGGGTGATTCTAAAGAATTTTCCTGTCTCTTCAAGGATACTCAATAGGCAATTAACTGGCTTCAGCAGAACTTGATAAACTGGTGAACAGGTCATTCAACCATTGAATCAGGTGTGTTGGAGCAGAGAAACAACTAATACAGTGCTGCATAGTGGCACTCAAGAGTTAGATAGACCAGAGGTACCTACCTTTGAGCAGTGGGAGAATGGATCTGTGTAGTTTTTGATTTATTCACACCTATGATTAACTTAATCTTGAAATCTAGACAGACCGTAGCAGTAGAAGAAGACTTTTTGGCATATCAGTCTGGCCATGTCCATTATAGCCTCAGCAGTGCTTTGCTTATTGGGAGGGCTAAACACCAGAGCAGCAAAGATGGTGCAAGATCTAAGAATGAGGTAAGAATGGCATCCCGTGGTAAAATTTAGTTACTGCAGCCCATTTTTCTAAACAAAAATATTACTCCCTCACTCCTGTTCCATGAGTTTCATGGCTGGTGCCAGTTACAGATCAGTACCAAAAGAGACATGCAAAAATGAGTCATACACAATAAGCTGTAGATAAATATATTGTTATATCTGATGTTGGTACTCTTGGGTATTTTGGTAGGGAGCACTGACTCAGAGCTGCCAACTTTTGAACTTTTGGTGATTCACTGTTAGCATTATTAGCTCATTGTTAGCCTCTTGCCTGTTTATTAGAGTAAAACTCAAATTCTATTCAATTCAGTTCACTCAAAGCGCCAAATCAGGCCAAGAGTCGTCTTCGCCAAGTAAACATTCCAATTGACTTCAGTTTATTATGCCAATTAGTCCAAATCTTCCTTCATAAGGAAACCCAGCAGATTGTATCGAGTCACTGACTTGTGTCAGAGAATTTACAGCAAAAAAGATGCTGCAGGTACAACCAATAACCTCGGGGTCGCTCCTGTTTACGGGCTTAAGTTCTTTTAACAACTGTGGAGCTTTTTGCCTGCCAGTGTAGAATGTCGGCACTGCAGCGTTAGCTCAGTGCTAACTAAGCTGCCTCACAGGCTCACAGAGTGTAAACAGTAACCATGTCCTTTTTTTGTTCTTTGAAAGGTGAAAGAATGACAATTCCTCAGCTGGCTAAGAAAGAAATCATGATTGAGACATTGAGCTGTTTTGTAACAATTTCACTGTAGAAAACTTGCATATTGCTCCTTTAAGTCTTTTATAAAAAAAAATAAAATATACATTTGCTTCTTTTGCTTCTGTGACCGTGTAAGGTGGAATCCCCCACTGATTTCTGTAGCGATGAATATCTCACATTGTTCTTTGCTCTGATTGATCCTAGCGCTGTCCAATTGCATGCAGAGACAATTAGAAAGACGAGGAGATATCGCTCACACGACCGAGCTATTCCCATGGATCGTACATTTTCACATATTTAGGACAACTAGCGAGGCTACATGAATTCTTATTTCCTTTCCGAATAGCAGCTCACGTTTTCTTTAGTTGGTATATAAAACCTTACAAATACATAGAGAGCAGAAGAGGTTAAAAACACAACATTAATGAAGACATTTTCCTTTGCATGTCACTTGTTGTCAGTGCGATTTGTCCACGCTTTTCCATCTTAAATTGCCATGAAGAAGCTTTACTTGATTATTATGTCACTTGTTATCAATCTTATCAATTATTATTTCACCTTCATTCATTTAAATTAAAAGTTAGACTTCTTAAAAAAACACAATTTAAGCTCTTATTCAGATGAATATAGCACACAAAAACATATGTGTTCACGTGTTGTTAACACACCACGTAACAATAAAATACCTGATATGAAATCGTAAAGGAGGAGAATCACAGGTTGTACTGTAGGCTGCACATTGGGCTTGATGTTCAATGTGAAACAAGGTTATCTCGTTAATTGCTCTCTCATCATGGTGTGTCATCTGCTGGGCAACACGGAGGTTTAATAAATGCAGAATCCACTCAGAGAGCCATGTTGGCAGCTAATTATCATAGGTGTAACATTTACATACAGTTTTCTGAGTGATTTAATCTTGCATTAATTTACTGTGACTTGTTCTGTCATCATACAGCTGAAGTTTTATTTATTTATCTAATCCTTTGTAACTTTGTGACACAGAAAATGCCCGCCATGGTCCTGTCTTCACCCAGGAGCCCAGTGACAGCATTTTCCCAATGAGCTCTGGTGACAAGTTGGTGTTCATTAATTGCGGAGCAAAAGGAAACCCACCTCCACATTACAGGTAAACATTCTGGTTCAAAGGCCAAATCAGGTGTCAGTGAATGATGAACACTAGACTTTTGCTAGATTATGTATACAATATCCAACTCCAGGATTCAGAATAGGTTTAGGCCCTGGAGGCTCCATGGGAGTACAGAACGTAGCAATGTTACACTGCAGCAAGAAGGTTACCGGTGCAAATCCCTTCTGAAACCTTTTATTTGTTTATTAATCTCGTCTCTGCTTTTTGCGGATGATGTGGTCCTCCTAGCTTCATCCAGCTCTGACCTTCAGGTCTTGCTGGGTAGGTTCATGGCCGAGTGTGAAGCAGCTGGGATGAGGATCAGCACCTCCAAATCTGAGACCATGGTTCTCGACCGGAAAAGGGTGGCTTGCCAACTCCGGGTCGGGCGAGAGGTCCTACCTCAAGTGGAGGAGTTTAAGTATCTCGGGGTCTTGTTCACGAGTGAGGGTAGTAGGGATCGGGAGATCGACAGGCGGATTGGTTCGGCGTCTGCAGTGATGCGGACTCTAAGCCGATCTGTCGTGTTGAAGAGGGAGCTGAGCCAGAAAGCCAGGCTCTCGATTTACCGGTCGATCTACGTCCCAATCCTCACCTATGGTCATGAGCTTTGGGTAATGACCGAAAGAACGAGATCACGGATACAAGCGGCCGAAATGAGTTTCCTCCGTAGGGTGGCCGGGCTCAGCCTTAGAGATAGGGTGAGGAGCTCGGACATTCGGGAGGGACTCGGAGTAGAACCGCTGCTCCTCCAGATCGAGAAGAGTCAGTTGAGATGGTTTGGGCATCTGGTCACGATGCCTCCTGGACGCCTCCCCAGGGAGGTGTTTCGGGCATGTCCTGCCGGCAGGAGGCCCCCGGGTTGACCCAGGACACGTTGGAGAGGTTACATCTCCAATCTGGTCCGGGAACGCCTTGGGATCCTGCCGGAGGAGCTGGTGGAGGAGGCCGGGGAAAGGACGGTCTGGAGCTCCCTAGTTGGGATGCTACCCCCGCGACTCGGACCCGGATAGGCGGAGGAAGACGACGATGACGATTTGTTTATTAATAATGGTTACTTCTGCTACATTTTTTAGGTCTCCAAAGTGGTTTACGTAAGAGAGATGACAAATTAAAAGACATCAGACTTCTTGATTTGAACAACAGCATCTCTGCCCCCTGAGAAATTGGAAGAAAACCAAACTGACTAGCTTAGAAATCTAGACAGATCATAGCAATAGCTAAAAGATTTCGCTCGGCAGGTCGGTCCAGCCACACTCCATAAAAGCCTCAGCAGGTCTGCTAGTGGCCTGAATGGTTTTGTGTAATGCCAATCACAGCTGTCGGTTTGCTGGGCCAGTTGTAGCACTCTATGAGTTTGAAGGGCTGGATGTTAATGACGAGGGCCCATTTGACATGGCTTTGAGATCAACTTTGGACTCATAGACTTGGGCTTGTCCTTGAGACAAGAGTAGATAGAGGTCCCTTATTTAGAAAGGGGATGTATTTGTGTCTTCTTTGACTGTCCATGACGGACTGCCATGTTGACTGACATCCGGAGCAGTGAGTACGTCATGTAGTTCGTTGTCCAATAGCATGAGGGGATAACTGTAGATTCTACCCCACGCTCCACTTTCTGAGTCATGTGATCTCTTACTGACAAGGTCAACATTCTATGCCATTGAAACCCATTATATACTCAAATGTTATAAAACTATGATTTTTTTAAGTGAAATTCATCTGATAGCTGAATTATTTGGCAAAGGTCCAATTTCACTGATCTGCACAGGGCATGAATGGTTAGTTTTCTTTCAAAGAACACGTTTTGAGATTATTTATACGATTTTTCAACCATTATTTTAGTGATTTTCAGTGTGTTTGGGTGAATTTCATCATCATGAAAAGTTCAAATGCCAACATTCCACACTATGCTGCTGAGCTGATTTTTGATTACACGAGAGGGAGGGACTGTTTGACAAGTTATTTGGTTTGCATCACAGTTGGTGGAAGAAGAGCTGGACAACATTGGACTTCCATTGTTTTTTTTTTTTTCAGTTTTAATAAGAATGCAGATAATAGATCTATGAAGGATTTAGATATTTGATAATCCTGTTATGTGACTTACCAGGTGGAACGTGGATGGAAGGGATATAGACACAGACTCAGACCTGAACTACAGCCTTGTCGAGGGGAACCTGTTGATCAGCAACCCTCACTTTATCAACCATGGAGGAGTGTATCAGTGCATTGCCACCAATGCATTTGGGACCATCGTCAGCAGGAAAGCGAGAGTCCGGTTTGCATGTGAGTAGGCTCTCTGGCTGCATTAAATGACAGAAATATGTAATGTTTTCCCCTTCTCTCTCTTTAATTACCTACTGTGCACCACAGCCGATTTTCAGTACGGTTGCAGCCAACAGCTATTTATTTCACCAGCTCATTAATTATTACTTTAGTTAAATATGCTCTTAAAATAATAAAAAAATTGTTAAAGCCTAGCACAGGTGCCCTCAAGCCAAAACTATCTTGTATGGCAAACAAACACTCTAAAATGCCCAACTGTGATATTTAATTCAACAGAAAAGCAGAGAAGTCTACTACTACCAGATGAGAATCTCTCCAGTAACAAGGAAAAATATCCTTTTTTTTTTTTTGCCATAATTGTGGAAAACCAGAATGTTACTTTACTGTTCAGATAAATTATTATCCATGACTTTTTAAAATCCAACATGTCATGTTCAAAACTAATCCGGCTAATACATTTTATTTTTATTTTATTTTACAGTAACAGATAAAATGTATCGCTGGTAAAATAATAAACAATCATAATAATAATAATAATAATAATAATAATAATAATAATTCTCTATGTAATACATGGTTTCTAGGTAGTATATGAAATTGTTACACCCTTAAAACACGATAAAAAAATATGCTGAATTTTTTTTTATTATATTTATTTCTAAATAATCAGTATATAACAATTTTTATTGCATATATCCTATCCATGTGCAAAATGTCAGTAAAGTGTTAAAGTTTAATATTTAATGCATTTTAATTTGATTTTCCAAACAGTTATTTTTATTTCTATCTTTCAGTACTTGATTTGATAGAAATACTCAGTTAGTGTAAAGTTAGAAATGAAATAATACAAAGAAAAGACTAAAGCTCAAACACAGATCCTCTAGAGCTGGTGATCCATCCAGCCTCCCTATGTGACCTGTTACTGGTTGATAAGCTGGAGTTGTACCATGTTTTCTGGTGGGCATCGTTTACTGTCACAGAAGGATTAATGGCAACATGCAGTTGTGGAGAAGTTTCCTGTTCATCAAAAAGTGAAGGTAAAGGATTCATAGTGCTGTAAAAACAAACACCATCAGCTCCTAACCAATCACCAACGCAGGAGCAAGTTTCATCAGATCTACGACTTTATGTAAATGGTGTCAAAACCATCAACTTGTACCGTATTGAATGCAGTAGGATTTTTTCCTACCTCTGAAACCAACACTGAAACAGAAAGTGAAAGCTTCTGTCTGGACTGAAAGGTCTAATAAGCTTTTATCTCGACTGCCAGGAAATGTGGATCTGCTGCTTGTTTCTTCAAGAAAGAACATTAATAGCTTTTGTGACCCTCCACATTTCGTCTCACCTTCCTGCAGATAAAACGTCTCTGCAATCTCCTGAACTAAACAACAGCAGCCCCTTAAAGTTCTGAGACTAGTTTTCGTTGTTCTTTTCAGCAGATTCAGGTTAGGATTTCAGTGGGTATTTTATTTATAGTCTATCTGGAGAAGAGTGGATAACTTGTCAGTTCACACAATACAGACCAAATAAAACCCAACATGTTCCTGTTTCTTGTTTCACATGTTTCTGTGGTTTCTGTAAATACACATACAAGACACACACACACACACACACACACACACACACACACACACACACACACACACACACACACACACACACACATATATATATATATATATATATATATATATATATATATATATATATCATTTCACATATCCAAAACTTATCCCTTTTAAATCTCTCAATTTCCAATATTTCTGGAAAAATGGGTCTATTTCCTCATTCATGTGTTTTGGAGAGTTTCAGACCAAATCACTCATTGGCTTTATCTGAAGAGAATGAATGAGGACATCTTGAGATAATTCTTTTAGAAGGAGTATCTACACTCAACAAAAATATAAACGCAACACCTTTGTTTGTGCTCCAATTTTTCATGAGATGGACTTAAAGATCTAAAATTCATTCCAGATACACAAAATTACTGGAACGGAATAGAGTCACAGAGACATCACAGAGTGGTGCACAGGTGTACCTTATACTGCCCACAATAAAAGGCCACCCTGGAATGTGCAGTTTTGTCTCACAGCAAAATGCCACAAGCATTGAGGGAGCGTGCAGTTGGCATGCTGACAGCAGGAATGCCAACCAGATCTGTTGCTCGTGCATTGAATGTTCATTTCTCCACCATAAGCCATCTCCAAAGGCGTTTCAGAGAATATGGCAGTACATCCAACCGACCTCACAACCACAGACGACGTGTAACCACATCATCCCAGGACCTCCACATCCAGCAGGTTCACCTCCAAGATCGTCTGAGACCAGCCACTCAGACAGCTGCTGAAACAATTGGTTTGCATAACCAAACAATTTCTGCACAAACTGTCAGAAACCGTCTCAGAGAAGCTCAACTGCATGCTCGTCGTCCTCATTGGGGTCTTGACCTGACTCCAGCTCGTCGCCGTAACAGACTTGAGAGGGCAAATGATCACATTCAATGGCGTCTGGCATATTGGAGAGGTGTTCTCTTCACGGATGAATCTCGGTGTACATTGTTCAGGGCAGATGGCAGACAGCATGTGGGTGAGCGCTTTGCTGATGTTGTGGATCGAGTGGCCCATGGTGGTGGTGGGGTTATGGTATGGGCAGGCACCTATTATGGACGAAGAACACAGGTGCATTTTATTGATGGCATTTTGAATGCACAGAGATACCGTGATGAGATCCTGAGGCCCATTTTGTGCCGTACATCCATGAACATCACCTCATGTTTCAGCAAGATAATGCATGGCCCCATGTTGCAAGGATCTGTACAAAATTCTTGAAAGCTGAAAATGTCCCAGTTCTTGCATGGCCAGCATACTCACCGGACAAGTCACCCGCTGAGCATGTTTGGGATGTGCTTGACTGGCGTATATGACACTGTGTACCAGTTCCCACTAATATCCAACAACTTCACACAACCATTGAAGAGGAGTGGACCAACATTCCAGAGGCCACAATTGACAATCTGATAAACTCTATGCGAAGAAAATGTATTGCACTGCATGAGGCAAATGGCGGTCACAACAGATACTGACTGGTTCTGAGTCCCCAGACCCCCAATAAAGCAAAAAACTGCACATTCCAGGGTGACCTTTTATTGTGGGCAGTATAAGGAACAACTGTGCACTACTCTGTGATGTCAGATCAGCATCTTGATGTGGCACACCTGTGAGGTGGGATGGATTATCTCAGCAAAGCAGAAGTGCTCACTATCACACATTTAGACTGATTTGTGAACAATGTTTGAGAGAAATGGCAACATTGTGTATCTGGAATGAATTTTAGATCTTTAAGTCCATCTCATGAAAAATCGGAGCAGAAACAAAGGTGTTGCGTTTATATTTTTGTTGAGTGTATATTGTTGCTTCTGAAATTTAGTAAAGGTGACATATTCAGGCTTTCAACAACAATGTGACAATGGAATAATTAAATTTAACACACATTAGTCTGCTTTGTAAATAAATTTGAAGTATTATTTAAAGTTTATTTGGTATTTTTGTGGTTCTTTGTATTTTAAATTTTAACGTAAATGTCCACATTTGCTTAAAGCTGAAATCTGTAGTTTTTATAGGAGGCCACCATCTAGAGGCAGAAACATAATCTGCACCTTAAGCCGTTCTCCCTACTCCCATGATTATGGCTGGAAGCAACACGTCTCGTTCATGAATGCATACTTGTAGCAGGGCAACAGAGCCAAAAACATTGTTTCATAGTTATTACGTTCATGCTGTGCTGTTTATTCACATGTATGTATATATTTAAGGGGCTTAGCAAAACGAATTATTGATTTATTGCCTAAATGGCATCACAGAACAGGGTAAGACTAACACTTTTGTGGAATGAAAAAAATCATAAATAGTTCCTGAAGTAGCGAAAATTCTTAATTGCTCCTTTAATAAGAAATTGTCAGTTTTCATAAAGAAAAAGCTGAAAGTTCTTGCTTTATATGCTTTTTAAACATTTCTGCAGTCACACATGTATAATGCGTACCTATTATGTCCATCTCCATTATTACAAAAGATAAAAAAAAAATAAAACACGGCTGGTATTACCTGATCATACCGGGGAGCAGGACCAGAGGCGTTCATAAAGAAAGGGAAGCTGCTCGTCGGGGTCTGGGGAGATTTTTAATCAGCTGAGCTCTGATCCGACCACAGCTGATATTTGCTTGACCCCTCCTGAGATCTGCTGGTATTTCTAAGACTTTAGGACTGATATGTCTCTCTGCTATTTATTCTCTCATGCAGCAGAGCAGCATTTAATTAAAGGTGAAAGTGGTCCCTGAAGCTCGGTGGCTGCATTCTTTTGCCCACTTTCCTAAACGCGCAGCAGTAATATCTTTGGGATTCTTGGTTGACTTGGAAGCAATAAGAGCATAAAGTCGAAATGATTACAGCTGTCAAACACGGTCTTGGTTTCTGTCACATTCAACAGTTCTGCAGAACTTCAGCAGGAAGCCGAGGAACACCGTGCTGGTGAGAGAGGGTCAAGCTGTGGTTCTTCTCTGCGGCCCGCCGCCCCATTACGGAGGTACGGCGCTCCAGTTTTACCTCTTCTGTTTTACATGTCTGCTTTGCTCAGCTGTTTTTATTGCTCTTCACTGTGCTGCTCATTACCGTCCTGTGATCCTGCTGTGGTTCTTTGTGTTTTTGACCCTCCCACCTATCAGACACGCTGTCTCCCACTTCTCCTTTCCTGTCAGACAGGGAACTTCTCTATGATCAGGCACGGCTGTCTTTGCCCAGATCTCTGCCTTCATCCATAGTCTCACACTTATTGACCTTGAGCTTGATGTTCTCACCCACATGACCTCTGACCACCTTGTCATCTATAAAGTCTTCAGTGATCCAACTCAACCAACTGTCATGTTGGTTGTCTTCAGCTGATGGCTACAGGGCGCTAATTTGAAGAAATACATAAAAAAATCAGGATTAGCATTTTCAGTTACATTCAGCCCAATGTTACATTTTAAAGGCAGCATTTTTCTCATTTCACTGGTCGATCTTTGTTCTAAACCTCAGCTATGATGGAAAGAACAAGATCAGACATTGTGGTGGGGCTGCCTGGTGGAACAGTTGGTGGCCCTGTTTTCTGACATCAAAAGTGTCACAGATTCAAATCCCAGCTGCAGTCTTTCTGCGTGAAGTGACCCCTACTTCACACCAGAGGCGTCAGCGGTGCTGAACGGCAGCGGAACATCACTGCTTCAAATAGAACCCATTATAGTTTACGGGGGGGATTCAAACCAGCCATGGCGCTGAAATTTTCAGGTGCGCTCTAGAAGTGGCACGCCGCACCACTAAAGGTGGGTTTGGGTTCGATTTTTGCCACGAGCCGCTTCTGGAACGCGTCAGTTTCCACAGTTAACACATGGCCAGACAGGAAATCACACCCGTTTTCAGTGTAAAACCTGTGGTAATTTTCAAAATGAAAGACTATTACAGCAATGCAATTTCATATCTATGTAGATTAAGTCAACACATGTGACCTAACGGCTTATTTACTCCCAGCATCGTTCCAGAAGTGCAGCGGTGTGTTTTTCATGGCTTTAGTCCGGGCAGTGGAGAGGAACAACATCATAAATGACATCAAACAGCAATAACAAGCATGACAATTTCTTTATGATTTAATGGCGGATGGCATAAACAAACCTGACCTTTGAAGTCTGCAGGGATTTTGTAATGTTGGCATGGCAGAGAAGCCTCCCCATGACTGAGATTCTCCTGGTGTGTACTGGCAGGCAGGCAGTGACGCTTGCGAGTAAACCGTTTTCTGCTGCTGTTCCGATCCACTGATGCTTCCAGTGTGAAGTACGGGTGAACATGTTCTCCCATGCATGCACTGGGTTGCTTTCAGTTTCCTAACACAAAACCAAAACGTGCATATCAGGGTGATTTACTGCACTGGTATCTCAAAAGCTGTAATTTGCTTTGGGCAAAAGTCTCTGATAAATAAATAAACTTAGAGGAAGTTTGAGACGGTATTGTAGATTTATGATTACGATATCCATTATAAAACGATCAATGGGGTGGGATAATTCCATATCAATATTAAATATCAACCTGATTGATCTTTGAATGTTTAATCAGAAGATTCTAGTTACTTTACTTATTCAGGGTCCATAAACACACTTCATATTAATTCAGACAGAGTCAAGTGTATAGTTTATAAAAATGTATTTATTTTGTTTCTCTAAACTAATAATTATGCATGACAAGATATGAATGGAATGATGGATATGAAGTGATTTAATGCGATGTGTGGAATGTTGTAATGGAAGCTAGATGTTTTAGCAAAACTGTTCTCAAGTATCTGAGAGAATTTGTGGATTCGGGGTTGTAAAATAAATTTGGTTGTATGTTTGGTGAATTCGAGATTTATTTATAAAAACCATCTGACGCAATCTGTTAAATCCACACACCCTTATGTGAAGATCCCCATTCAGATCCAGGGGTCACGAGGTAGAGATGGACATGGACCTTGGGGTACCAGGAACCCAGAGATTAGCTCTGAAATGACCCGTCTAGTCTTGAGATATATCCAGGTCACGACAGGAAGCTGGAATGCTTGTTTGCGTCTAAGGTTGTTTGTTGGCTCTTAGAAGAGCCGTTTTGTGTCTGTATCACTCGCAGCATTGCAGAGAGGCTATTACGTCCCCCAGCTTGCTAGGAGTGAAGAGGTGAAGGGAGTAATGAAAACGTGTGAGGTTTAAGTAATAGCAAAGTCGTGTGTCGCTATAAACAAGGATTTTATTACACAACTCAAGTGGACCAAGTGTATTTACAATAAAAGGAGATATTTACATAAGAATAAACAAAGGAGCTATTTATTAAGGTTAACAGAAAATGTCAGCCCAGAAGGGGCTGGGCACACTAATGGAAATAATCCACAAAAAACCCAAAACTTAAATGGAGCAATCCTGTTTAACAGAGACTCTCTGACTAATCCGAATCTAAAAGTATCTGACAGAATGAGTTTACTTTTTTTTTTTTTTTTTTTTTTTTTTTTTTACGTGTCCTGTCTGGCTGTGAAGCAAGCAGAATTGATGTCTGAATGCTGGTAACAAGCCTTACAGTTTTACTCTCAGGTGGAGCATCAGAGCATCTGCTTTTAATGTCTCAGGTGGAGCATCAAAGAGTCTGCTTTTAATGTCGCACCTGATATTTAAAACTTTATTGTTATTGTTTTTGAATGCTTTGTAATTTCGACCAGACACGGAGACAGAGGTGAAAGAGAAAGGAAAAGAGAAAAGGTGGGGAGAGAGGGGGTTAGGTGGGGGGGGGGATTCAACAAAAATAAACAATAATGAACAAGAGTCTGCTTCTAGACCTGCAAAATGAGATGAGAAAAAAGCAAAACATAACAAAAAAATGGGACACAACACCAATATAACAAAATCAAGCTATCACTGCGTCAACTTGATGAAGAAATATATAATCAATCATTGTTTAACTAAACAGTCACACGATAATATACCACAGTGCATTGAGTGCCCACCATAGTCTTAAGACATGTGTTGAACGTGCCCAAGCCCATACTTATGAGAGCACCATGTGAGCACCTGTGTGTGTACACGCGCTTGTTTATGTAAGGTTTATCTATAGGAGCGTCCAATAGAGAGTGTAAGGGACCACAGATCTGCCCCCCAAAGACGCGTAGGAGACGGGGGGGAGCTCCAAGTCCCAGAGATCCAGGCGCTGCCCCAGAACACAGGAACCCCAAGGAGCCCGCAACCAGAAAGGCCCCCGCCCCCCTCGAGAGGCACAGAGGATCGCCCCGGGGGGCCACAACCAGCAGCCGGCAGAGCCCCGGGAGATATCAGCGGCAAGTCCTCAGGCCTGCCCGCAGCCTCCCACCCCCTAGCCGGCCGAGTCCGGGGCCCAGCGACCCGGGACCCAGGGGCGACCACCCCCGCCGGGGACCCAGCAGAGCCCAGGGACCCAGACCCCCCCAGGCCGCCACCGGGATTGATCAGGCAGATGCCAAAAATCTTAAACTCCCTGACCCGGGAGCCACGAACACTCAGGCAGACCAAGGCATCACACCCACACCAGGTGTGACAGGGGGGAGGGGAGACGAAGATCTATATCATCAAAGGAGGTCCCAGGAGAAGGGAGGAGTCAAAGGCCCCACCTGACATATACAGTCATACACAAACACAGTCACACACTCCCTCCCTCATGCTCACACATGCACATACAACCAAAGACTTACAAAAATACACGCCGGACACCCATTCATGCTCCCCATACACACCCTATTCACTCTGGTCCCGGTATTGCTGCACATGGGGTACAACCACCACCGGTTACCAGAGTTTGACCCTTTCTGCTGGGGTGCTGATGAGCAGGCTCCCCCGCCCACCGCCGAGCACAGCAACCCACCACCCCAGACCCCAACCAGACGGCCAGATCTCCCTCCTAGTCTCCAGCCCCAGGCAGCCAAGCAACAACAGAGGTGTGCTAAGACCCCCTGGTCTCCCTCCACCTGCTCCAACATAGTGTTGTGTGTTAATGAGGTGTATTCTATTGCTGTGGTGAGCGGGCAGTGCGGGCATTTTCTGGCCTATGCCAGCTGATGCCACTGCACCACCCTACTTGCACCCACAGCCCTTGGTGTCTAAATGCAGTTTAAAATTCGAAGTGGGCACCGGCACTCGGGAGGAGGCTGAGAACTCCCCCTGCCAAGTGCCGTTGAATGTGCTCACTCCCAAGGCCCTAAGTGTATGTTTGCGTGGAATGTCGTCGGTGGAAGTGCATAAGGTGCAAATAAAATTGGGGGGCAGGAAGCCACAGGAATGCGGAAATGGGGTCCATACCCGCACTCCTCGACTTGTCCACCCCCCAAGGTCCTATGTGCATGTTTGTGTGATGATGTGAGGGAGCAGGAGGAGAGAAATAAACGGGGCTGGTAGGGCTTAGCCCTCCAGGGAGCCAGCTCCCCCACTGACCCCAATAGGCACCTCCGTTGTCATACCGCCGCCCAGGGCATGGAGACCCCAGCCCATCCTGCCAGGGCCCAAAGCAGCAGCATCACAGAGCCCCACAGAGCCCGAGGGAGCCGACCCAGCCCCACCCCACCAGAATATCTATGCCCATCCCTGCATTTGCACAACTTCCAGAATATATAAGACATAAGACATCCAGGTAAGGTTGGGTCCTCCCCCTCCTGGACCTCCCCCTCCCCTGTGATGGGACAACAGAGGAGCCAGGGCCTGCCCTACGCCCCCGAACCCGGGCCAGGTACTTCTGCGTATTCCTGCCTTCTTCCCGGCAGCGTACATGTAGGGACCCGACCCCCAAGGCCCAGCCCAGATCCCCACACGGGGCCGGCCACCCCAACACCCCGAGCCCCCAGGCCCCCACCCAGACCCACCCAGGGGCAATGCAGCCGCCAGGCAGTGACCCATGGCCGCCGCCAAGACCTCCAAGGGGCTCCACTCACAACCGCCAGCAGTACACCCCCCGAGGCAACCCAAGCACCTCCAGAGGGGGGGGAACGGCCCCCCAGTGCCAGACATCCCCAGTGAA